CCCAGGAAATAAGGCATCTGTGGAGGATGGAAAGGGTGCTTATTGTACCTGTTGTTCTCTCCTGTACAGGTGTGATACCACACACACTACACAAAAGCCTGGGAACATTACAATTGAATAGAAATAAATACGTCACACTACAGACGGCCACTATATTGAATACATGCCACATTGTTAGGAAATTCCTCAATACTGACACTGACACACTTATTTAATTTTAGTTTTGTTTTGGTTGCTTTGCCTTGACTCTGGTCTGGCATAGCACACAGTCACCAGTATCAACTGAGTATAACCAAGGCCGTCTAGATGATACAGGCCGTAATACCAGTTGAATGACGTCATATGCTGGGGCCGTGTTAGTTTATTATGTACTCCATTTACATTTAATTCTAGAGGTATATCTCTTAAATAATACACCATATTTTACTGTAATTGTATATATATATATTGTTGAATTCAATAATTTAAAATTTTATCAATCATAATTATTTAAATAAGTGTTTAAAAATTATAAAAAAATTATCAATTTGTGCTTATATGTTAAATTTTATTAAAAGTTTAAACTATATAAATAAAACAATTTCAGTTACAGAATATTTAACATGTTTATTATTTACAAAGCTGTTTATAATCAATATTAACGTTACTTTTTAAATGTCATTAATTTTCTAACTGGTTTCCTTTCTTTTAATTTATCATTTCTAATTTTGCAATAATTATTTATTAATTTGTTGGACATTATTTTGACACAACTTTGAGCCACCGGGAGGGAAGAGGAGTCCTCTCCTTCCGGCCACTGGTCGGTGACCTACTATCTTGTCAGGGATGGTAGTAACGTTCGGTTACGCGTTACGCGAGTGGAGGAGAGTCGGAGGGGTCAACAATAAGGCTTGAGCAAAGTCGAGTAACGACACCATTTTTAACAAAACAACGGTTTATTTTACTAGCTATCTAAATAAAAATTTTACAAAACTTTGCGGATGAGAGAGAGAGTTTACAATAATATTTCATACCTCTGTGATAGTATTGGATGGATACTTAGGCTTTTAATTGCTGAAAGGTGGTGCGAGTTGGCCACAAGGTTTTCTAATTAGTGTCGTGCAGTAGGTCAACAGGAAGTAAAGGTCTGTCTTGGTCGTTCGATGGGTGACTCTCTCGAGAGGGGAAGGAGGATGGCTTTTATACATTTTTGGTGGGAAAATTCGTCAGGTGACCAATTGTTTTTGCAGGTGTGGGGTTAAAGTTGGTGTTAGAATGACAACAATATGACAAATTTTGTCGATATTTGTAAACTGATTGATTGTTGATCGTGAGAATGTTTATAGTTAAATAGAAAGAGTTATAATTTTCTCATGCACCTCGAATTTCGTTTCTGCAGGTGCAACTTCTAGTTAAAGAAATTTGTTAAAAATTTAAAGGATTAAATGCCTTTATTACATTATATAAATCCCGAATTTCACACAACATTTCATCAATTGAATTCTATCTTTCTTACAACTGCAAATATTATATTGGAAACAAAATACATTATTTTCAACTAATTTATTCATTACTAAACTTACTAAAGCTTTTTTTTTCCATTTTTTAGTGCCAAAAATTCACATTCATAATCATTCAGAATGGTCTGAAATATCTGAAAGGTATTTATGCATATTACAACAACAAATTCTTGTGGCCATTTAGGACCACCTCTGTCAATTAACTTCAGATATTTTGCCAAATCATCATCTGTGCATTCATACTCTAGTGGAGAATCACATGCTAGTAATGATTTACATTGCTCACAAGAAGTTTTCTTAATTACCGAATATGCAACATATCCTGCAGTGTAAATCAGAACTGACATGTTCTGTTCTGTAACAATAATATCATCAGATTTTTCTGTTATGCCTTCAAATGCTTCTTCAACATCAAAATCAAATCTATCCAACTCTGCACTATTAGCACAAGATTCAAGAAAAGCTTTAATTTGAAAATTTCCAATATTGGATGATATCATACTTAGCAAGCTTATTAATTTCAGTTTTCTTTCTGATTCAATAACTTCAGAAACAGAAATATGATAGTTACTTCCTGACATCTGTCTATACTGTCCAAAGTGAGCTTCCAGCATATCTGTTTGAAATTTACCCAATAACACATAATGTGCTCCAAGTTCATTTAATATAAATTCTGTAAGTTCATACATTGCTTTAATTGTATTCTCTAATGCTTTTTGAGTTTCTACTGTTAATTTTCCATGTCGATTACTGGACATTTGAGCAACCTGATGATTATAATTATTCCATACTTGGAGCCATTTAAACATATTTCTTAAAAATATAACTTTAAAATCCGAAGTATCTGTTATTGGTTCAGAAAATTTGTCTTTTAAAATTTTTCCTTTATGTGGATGTTTAACATTTACTATTTTCCACCATTTGGAAATTATATCTAGAAAGTAAGAAGTTTCCTTACTGTTTTGTATTTGATGTTTGATTCTCAAAGCAGCTATATTTTTTTCATCAAATATACTGCAAACTAGTGCTACATTTTGTCTCTCTAACTTTGATGGATAAAGCACCTTCTTAGATAATTTTGGAGCTAATTTAACAGTACTACTTTTTTCTTGAAAATGTATTGTTTTTAGGCACTGCAAATTATCAAAACATATGTCAGGAAGTGAATTATTATAATCAAATAAAACAGAATTTTGTAACGTAGGGAAAACAAATGTTTGCCTATTGTCATGTTGGTTTAACCAGTTGTTTCTGATACATTTTAATAAATGTACTGAATCAAATAGTAAAAATATCTTGTCTGATGGTGAATATGGATTTTGAATATTTGTTGTTAATAAACCATTACAAAATTTTTCAAACATTACACGATTAATTCTATTATTATCAGATATAATTGTTATCACTTTGTACCCAAATTTTTTTAACAATTTTAACACACTACATGTCATTTCATGTAATTTTATGCCAGTTAAATTTTTAACGGGAAATAATGCAACTACATCTTTGTTTTTGGAAAATACTGAAGATATCATAAAAAGTTGCATTGTAGTTGCCTTGGTGTTTTCAATATTTTTTGACATGCCTTCAATTCGACCACTTTTGTACAATAATTTGGGTTTGACATAAATCTCATCCAATAATACATTCACAATGCATTCTTCTTTATTTAAAATTTTAGATTTTTTATGCAGGTAAGTAATATGTGAATTACTTATTCCAGATTGATAATGACCTAAATCCATTACCATTTTTTTAAGATAAACAGGATGTGGCAGTATCAATATTGAGATATTTCGAATTAGTCTGTATGCTGCAGGATATGTGAAAAAAAACTTACAAGAAAACATTAGTGTTTCTGATGAGTATTTTGGCACTTTCATTGTAAGAAGATTTATTTGTTCACAAATAAAACTTAATTTCATTGAAAGACTGGGATTTGGATCAGTTTCTAGACATTCAGTAATCAAAATAGATGGATATTTCAATTTATCACTTATATCTGACTTATATGAATTCAAATGACTTATTAAACAATCAAACTTGCTCCATAGATCACACTTCATGCTATCACTTAATATCCACTTAAATTTTGATACAGCAATCGAAATTTCATTTTGCCATATTTCAACAGATAAATCTTCATAACTTTGATACCAATAATAATTTTTGGACATTGTGTAACATCTATTTTTAAAAAAGAAATATATTGTAATGAATCCATTTCAGATGGTATTGTAATCCAATCTTCAGGAATTCTTTTCCTTCCAATTTTTTCTAACTCCTTAAAATTAATCTTATCTGTGGATAACCAATTTTTATATATTTTTTCTTCTCTTTCGAGCAATTCAGTTGATCTTTCTTTTGGATTGCGTCTTTTTGTTGGAAGTATAGTAGATAAGTATGATGGCTGATTTGGAAATTTTATAGGAAATGCATCCTTTTTTAGACTAGGATGTTTATGTTGAACAGTGAGAACAGTACCATCAACACGCACTGCGCTATCTTCTCTAATAATAAACTGTTCATCAAAATGATGTATGCAAACTACAGAATTAGTACTGGGTTCAAAATCTTTTCTATGTATTGCTTTAATCCATTGTTTACATCGAACAGGATCTTTGGGAAAACTGAAAACGTTAGTGTATTCCTTCTGTGTACCATAATTAGATCTACATCCGGGCACACAACATTTTCGTGGCATCTAAAATTAAAGAAAATAATTTAAATTGCTATTTATAAATATACGTATAAAAAAATCTGAAAAAGTATAAAGTTTTAGTTTTAAATACATAAAATATATAGTACATTTGTTTGCAAGGTATACGATATATATGCATCTTATGTTAGAAACTGGTCTTTGTTTAAAAAATGTTAAATAAATTTAAATGTAATCAATCTGAATTGTCTCTATTGTATTCGTGTTTGCATTTTGGACATATGTACAGTAATCAGTTACATTTCTATATATACATGTACTGTACAGTACAAAGATTTGGGAACTGTATCTTTACCATTATTTTTCGTTTGACATATGATTTTCTTCGAACATATTGTTTTATTTTTTTGTTTATAAGAATTTTTATAAATACAAATTTATACATCTATTTTCAAAAAAATATAGAAAATAAGAGTCATATTGTTTAAATTTTAGAATAGTTTAAACAAGTTTAGTATTATATTGATCATTTGCTTATATGTATATTTACATCTAAAAATGATAAATGTATATAGTTCTAAATTCTTATTTTATTAATAAGTTATCTTATTTACTAAACTAGGATAAAAATAAAATAACCAAACTACATTAAATTATCAAAGTATGAATTTTTTGAAAATCATTTACATTGAAAACATTAGTTAGGCTTAGCGTTCATGAATAAAAATAACTCATTTTCTTTAAGATTTAATATGTGAACATCAATTTATTGTAATTCAAGTTTAACTTACTTTATTGATTTAATATTAATACATGGAAATAGTTCACAACTAATAATATTTTTAAATTCAGCATCCAACCACAGCTAATCCGATCACAAATGAAATCTCGTTCAGGTCTATCTTGTTCTAACATGTTTCTAACGGACCCGAGGAATGACGTCACCAAAAGTTTTGGCTTCAGGTTTACGGCCTGTATCATCTAGACGGCCTTGGTATAACCCACTAAACCCAACATAATAATAATAATAAGCACAGAGCCCAAACGGCTAGGAGTTGAAAGTTGAAATTTGGTACACAATTAGGGTACGTCACGAGAACACACACTAAGAAGGGATTTTTCGAAATTCCCCTCGGAGGGAGAGGGACAGGACAAGGTTTCCACAATGAAAATGTTAAGTAACAATGGCAGTGTTAACAATGGAAGTGTTAGGTAACAATGAAAGTGTTAGCAATGGAAGTGTTAAGAAAAAGTGATGTGCAAGATTTACAGGCACAGATGCTGTTTTTTGCGTTTTTGATTGCGTTTTAATAGGGTACGTCATGAGAATATACACTAAGAAGGGATTTTTTGAAATTTCACCAGCGGGGGTGAGGTTGTTAACACTTTCCCCCTTGGGGAAGTGTCAACAATGGAAGTGTTAAGAGAAAGCGACGGGCAAGATTTACAGACGCAGATGCAGTTTTTCGTTTTTGTGAGAAATCAATCATTTTTTAACCCGTCTAAAAATTCTCTAATTAGTCTGGAAACAGGAAGACCTAATTCTTGCATTCTTTGAAAACAGTTAAAATTGACTATAATGTAATAATCTTAATCTTCACTATTGTTACTTTTTGCCTGAGCAACGCCGGGCCTATCTTCTACTTATATATAAAAAATAACTACATCCACCTAAAAACAGAAGAAAAATTAATTATCACGTCAAAGCAGTGGATAGTCTCCCAATATTTCTTAGGCTCGAACACACCTTTAAAGGAAAAAATAACACCACCTTTGCACAAAATTATATGATTCAACATGCAAAACAGAGTAAAATATGCACCAATCTACTCGAATGACAACTGAAACAAAGTAATTAACATACAATTACCTAAAAAATAGTTCAAGTTTCTGGATAAAGAAAATTAAATCAAAATTATGTAAGTTACCAATAAGATCCAAAAATTTTTCAAAAGAAATAGTAGAAACACCAAAAATACTTTCACGTAGTTTAGAAAATTTAATACACCTAGCTGTCACGTGATATGCATCTAAAGACTGATCACCTTGACAATGTATGCAAATATCTCTGCAATAATTCTGCAAAAAATTAAGAGAATTACATCTAATTTGCATTATCATAGAGCTAATATTATAAGAGAAATTATTATTATAAACAAAACAGTCAAAAAACGATTTATTTAAATACTTATATCAGGTATTATAAAGTCTTTACATTTCCAGGTTATACTGTAAAAAGTATTTTTTGCCCCCTCTTTTTGCTATTAAAATTGGATCTAAGGCAGGGATGTACTGTACAGACTAATGTTAAGACCAGGAACCACATAGATCCACTATAAGTTATGGGAGGACTGCCAGAAAAAAAAAAACTTTGAAGTTATCTATCAAAGCTATTACTTGTGTTTCACGGGAAACTTCCAAAAATCTCCATGGAAGGAGATAACTATCTTGCCAATGTGTTGACTTTATCAAGTATATGCAAATAGATTATCAATTATTTAGTCATCCATAACATTGTTAAAGGTGGAAACTGAAAAAAATGTCAAAAAATGAAAATTTCTATTTGATATATAATTACGAATCTTTGTGAACTCACAGAAGACATCTAATAAAATGTAAATAACTTTTATTCAAATCAATTATGGGAATTTGAAGCTGTGTTGTTAAATTGGACTAGAATTTGGCTAATTAAATGATTAATATAAAATAATTTGTCACTAGAGGGAGGCATTATGTGCCATCTCAACTAAATTAATAATCACTTTATACAGACACAACAAAGTGACTCCTTTCAAACACTTGGCAGATTATTCATCTCTTTATTCAGTTGGGACTCTAATTACAAGTTGCGTTTCGGGCATTAGCCCCTCCTCAGCCAACTAAACATAAAAATCAAACATGATAAAATTTACATATACATACATGAATTAAACTTTCTATAGATATAACACATTTAAAAAACATACCTTAGAAGTATAAATTACAAACATACAGATGGCATACATAATGGACTGTATCAAATTCCATAGATCGAGTGAAGAATGAACAGATTGACAGGTCTCGAACTTGACCACAGGACTTTTAAACTTGACGAACTTTGGTTTTATATAAATAATATTCAAATAAATAAATCAAATTTATAGACAATTTATAATAGCATCTATTTTACCTGTAATTTATATCTTAATTCATCATATAAATTCACACAATAACTGTTGTAGCCTTTACAGACAAATCTCACGTACATCTATCCCAACGACACAATCTGGTTTGCTAATTTGCATATATATCGGTAAACTAATTTGAAACAATTTCAATATTCAATAAAAAGTTGTGTACAAATTCAAAAATTATTAATATATTAATATTAGCCTATAATACTATCGAATTTTTACAATTATTATTTAAATATACATGAACTTTAAACACTGATGATTATCACTACAACTATATCCGATAATCTCTAACACATTTATAATATTTTTACCAGTTTTCACTAATTTTGATACTTAAATTTTTATTTGTACAATTCTTATTTTCATTTTTAATAATCTCGACCCACTCTTTTTAAATTTTCTGTGATATGTCTTCTTTTCATTATGTAGAATCTGTATATTAGATTTATCAATTTTACAATCATTTAGTACACAATAATTGTGGAATACTGAATTTAATCAGTGATACTTCAAATCAGACATATGCTCTTTAACCTGTATAATTTTTAATAAATGATTAAATAATTTAGAACTTTCTGGAATAAAAGAACTGACTCAGGGCGGGGCTTGAACTTGCAACTTCTGCTTGCCTTGTGGTGCACTTGCCAGTTGTGCCACCTTGGACCCCGAGCAAGTCTTTGCTTCCAGGGGTATATTAATTTAGATATAGCCTTACTTGGTTAAACACGGCACTGGCTGGATACGACTCCTATGCCCACAGCCTACGAACATCTCCACAACGGCACTCAACCAGCTAATGTATTACCCGCTGAGATATATATACACATATAATAAACATCTCATCGGGCTTTGAGATGTTTGTTATGTGTTGTTAAATTTTAATTAATTAAATTATGATCAAATACATTCAAGTGCAGGTATTATTTAAGAGTTAAAATAAATGGTGAGTAGGGCTACCAGCAAATCAATGGAGGATCAGATGTGGCCCTTGGGCTGTGGTCTATGCATCCCTGATCTAAGGACTTGGATATTTTTCTTTTTGAACAGTATTTTCATAAAAGTAATAATTTCATATGATTTAAATTTTTCTCTTATAAACCCAGGCAATGCCAGATACTGGTACATAAGCTAGTATTTAAGAAAAATGTTTTTCTATTCACAGATCTTTATTAATTCAGCAAGAATTACAAATCATTATCTTGTTTTTCACCAAAAATTAGACAAAATATAAATATATTTTATGGCCCAAAGTAAATTTCTTAGATTAGAATTCCAATATTTCATAATTGAATTACTGATATGAAATTAGACTTAAGCAATTCTGCCATCTGGGTGTTGGTTATGATGAAAGATCTGTGACAGAATGCCTTAATTAGTACAATAAATTCATTAAAGTTATATGGCAATTCTAAATTATATATTTATCTTACAGTGGAAATCACAGTATAATTGGTAACCACTCAGGTATGTCAGAGCTACCTGGTTTGAACTCCATTTTAGTCTGCTCTACTGTATTTGTCTGCATGTTGGACAAATTTCTAATGAATATAAACACAAATAAATGGGGAAAAAAGGACTAGATTGGAATAAAGACACATTTGTATCTATTGTCTCAGAACAGGGGTGTCCAGCCCGCGGGCTGCATGCGGCCCAAGGCAAGTTCCAATGTGGCCCAATAAAGGTGTAAACAAAACCGACAAATGTTTTAATTTTTTATTATTTATTTATTTCAACGGCATAAACTCAGAAAATAAGTCTCACAAAGCCATAAACCTTTATTCATATTTTAGTTTTGAGTGGAAATGAAATATTTTCATGTACAGTACTTGGAGATGTGTGAATGAGGAAGGATTACTAAATAAAGCTGGAGTTGTGACTCAAAGGATTATAGACCCAAATTTGGTGAAAGGAGAGAAAAGACGAAAGATAAAAAGTTGTCAGAAAGGTTAAATAGTTCTTCTGTTAGGCAAATATTGAGTCTTAATTTTCCAACCTTTCTCACTTCTTTATCTTTTGTCCTTTCTCTTCTTTTTCCGAATTTGGCTCTATAATCCTTTGAGTCAAAACTCCAGCTTTATTTAGTATTCCTTCCAGCGTTGCAAGATTTGGCTACATTGCGCCAAATGTGGCTACTTTTTTTAGTTTAACGTAAAAAAATATCATTTGGCGCTTTGGCTACTTTTGGGGCTACATATCATTTATAAAT